GGGCTCAGGCCATCCACTCACCTCAGCCTCCCAAAGGCGCGGGATTACGGGCTGAGCCACCGAGCCCGGCTAGCCAGGACACAAGCTTTAAACAGTCAAAGTAGCTTTAAAAGACAACCTGATAAAACAGTCAGACACATGTAACAAGAATCAACCTGCCTAAATGAAATAGTTTTCAAATATGTAAATCAATAAAAACTATAGTGGCAATCTTTAAAGTTTTATAGTATTTCTACTTTTTATTCATATATGGGGGGGGAACCCGGAACTATCTTTTAGTGGGCAGGCAGGTCGCTCGTAGTACAGGCTTCCCCTCACTGGGCAAGTGTTCGAGGAACCCACTGGCATCCGCAGACCAGCTAGTGTGGTTGTGAGAGGCTGTGTTCGACTTCGGTGGATGTTTTTGAGATGCTTTCAGTGAATTTGTCCGTTTCGTGATCGTTAACTTACAAGCGCACCTGCCCACACCAGGCTGAGTGTTCAGCAGTTTTCGACGAAAAACGGCATGACCCCTGTGACCCACCCTCCCTATTCACCACCCCTCTCTCTGCGCAACTTTTTTTTTATTTCCCCAGGTGAAAAAAGTCCTCAAAGGGGAACGTTTTGCCCATTGGAAGAGGTGAGACCAAAAAAAAAAAAAAGCAGAAGCACTAAAAGGCACAAAATGAACAAGTTCAAAAACTGTTCTGAGCAGTGGAAAGGCATGTTGGTGGGTGTATGTAGCACACAGAGAGCACTTTGAAGGTGACTGAAGTTTAAACATGTAAGAATCAATACACACTCTTTTATAAATATATTCCAGGTTTTGGGGTTCCCCCTTGTATAGTATGTTATTTTCAGAGAATAGCTGTAAAATTGTCAGTAGAGTGCTTTTACTTTTCTGATACGAGCTACATGAAGCCAATTAAATGAATTGTTATTCAGTTTTTTTTCCTAAATGAAGTCGAGGAGATGTGTGGATATCACCCCTCCAAGTCACCTGTTGTGACAACTAGATTCAGCAATGCATTCCTCCCTGCCAACCCCAGCTTGTCTCAGAACCTTTACAGCACACCTCTCAGCAGTCACTCCTGGTGGATCAGAGCTAGCACATAAGAAAATCCTACGTGTCACCTCCGAAAAGTAACACAAGACAATTTAGAAAATGTAGAGAGTGAAAAAAATTCTGGAGAATCGCCATAATGCCACCACGAGAGACAATCACCCTTAGCGTAAGAGAATCTGAGTGTGTGTGTGTGTGTGTGTTACGAGCAAGGGAAGTGCGCAGAGGAATCTTCCACAGACACAGCCATACCTAGAGGCCTAGGCTCCACGCCACACGCACGTGCTCATTTCACCACACCCCCACCAAACCTGGGCAGTGGAGTCAATAAAATCAACCAAAACATCGCCCAAAATGTTTGCTTGTGACTCACTTCTAATCTACTGTATTGAAAGATACAGCAAAACCCTTAAGCTAGCAATCTTCATGCAATCAACAAACAGGGCAATAACTATGTTCACGTGTAGAATGAAAGAATGCAAGGTGTAGTTAAGTGCTCACTGACAGCTTAAAAATCAAGCAAAGGGAAAGACAAGAGTGAACATGAACCTCACCTCTCCTTGCTGCAAAGGCCATGTGTAGCAATTTTCCTGCAAACTTTCCGGTTTAATTCAGAACTGAAGAGTGGAATTCCAAAGCACAGCTCAAGAGGAACCCAGTCTGCTTCTGTGGTGGCACCTAAGAAAGAACACATCACCGTATCTTTTGAATCACAGGCAACTATCTTTATGTGTTACGTGAATGATGAGGGCCTCTTAGCCTGAGGCTCATGGAATCCTCCAGCCTCAGTGATACCCACCAATGGGCTTGGTGGGAGGCGGAGGGGCTCAAGGCGGCCAGCTACTCTCTGAAACAGGACGGTATGTCTTGTGAGTGTGCACATGTGTCTGGAAAGAAAGTGTAAAGCTTTGGTCAAATGTTCAAAGTAGTCACTTGCCCAAAAAAGAGACTACTATAAGACATCTGCAAAATGAGAGGATGAATCCAAATATTTATCACAGCAATGAAATTATTTTCAAGTCATAATTCTATAATACATCAATTGTTAATTTAAGTATATAAAAGGTTTCCTAGAAAACACTTATCAAAAAGTATACTATGGGTAACAAGAACAGACAGATGACATAAAAATGTCTTAACAGAAAAGTTAAACCTCAGAAACTAGTCTAATAATATTGTGAAGAATTTGTAGCACCTTACCAGAATTTTGCTTTGTCGCTGAATCTACAGCTGCTTCCTCAATGACCATTTCAAATGACTCTGTGCTCCCATTTACATCTGAGCCTGAAGCTAAATCAGGTTCTCCTTAGAATGAAAGGACACACATGATATTAGGATTCTAGCCATTACACGTTGTCAATAAATCAGTCCTAACAGAGAGAGAACTTCAGGCAATAGCAATGCTGATGGGGAAAATGAATACTCTTTGGCCTACAGCAAAGGTTCTGACCCCAAGGGCCATGAACAGGGACGGGGATGCTATTCACATCTGTGGATGCCAAATATCCTGCCACACAGGACCACCCTCCACAACCGAGATTGATCCAGCTCAAGATGCAAATAGTGCTGAGATGGAGAGACTGGCCTGAAGACATCAAAATTCAAACAGCAGGACACAGGTTTAGACTTTTGCCTAGATCATTACCAAAGCCATGTCTGTCCCTGTGGACACAAACAGGCAACTACGCTTCAAAATTCTTTTCCGACACCTCATATCTTTCCACACATGAGCTCTTCTAACATCTTGCAATAAATCCTTTCTTGTGGCCACAGTGACCTACTGTTCTTAATTCCCTCCCTGTGAAAGGCTGCCACCCACCAAAAAAAACAACTCTCGTCTTTTGCCTAGAACAAACCTTGTCTTTTGCCTACCTGACTCCCATTTTCCAAACCCAGCTAGAAAGCCAGTTTCTCTCAAGGCTTTCTCTGGCAGCTCAGCTGGGCTGAGATGTGCTTTCCTGGGTGCATTAGCAGACTTCTACCACAGTCATTCGCTCCACACTCTAGGCTAACTCGCTTGTCTCCCCTTCTAGGGCTTGGATCCTTGGAATAAGACTGGATCTCACTAATATATATGCATCCCCAGCACCTAAGCAAGTGGTCCATAACTGTTTGTGGAATGAATGACATAAAAAAAGGTAGTAGACACTCTTTGAAATGACTGACTTAAGCCACGGTCCGTCCTCTTTTCCAGAAAATGTCCCTGCAAGATCTGGTAGTCAGCTATTAAAAGTGGCCAGAGACAAATGACCCAGGAGCAGAAGTCTACTTCAAGGGAAGCCGATCCAATCCACCAGATGGCTAGTAGTCGATCACATTTCCTCAGGATTTCAAACTAAGAGGCTCATGTGATATTGTCAGTCAATGGCAGACACTTGAACTGAAAGGTCACCCAGGGCCAGTGAACAAGAGCTGGCACCATGGTACCCAAAGCCCCATGCAAGCCAGTATGATGCAGAAACATTCCATAAACATGAGAAGGTGATGTGGAGATGAACCTTCCATTAAAAAGAAAAAGTGGCGTCCAAGAGAAGTTAGCTGTTACCAACAGGGAGGCCAGACTGGAGACTGAAAGGACAGGTCAGGACGGCCACGCAGGAAGTGGCTGCAGGACAACACGTCTAAGCTGTCAAGACCCAGACTAGATTTGCAACTACGGGGCACTTACAGAGGGAGAGAGGAAGGAAAGGATATGAGAGACATTCCTAAAGTCTCATTCACAGACTTGGAAACCAACTGCACACAGAGGATAAAAGAGGAGGACGAGACAGAGATAAGATTTGGGGTCTGGGTCACTCAGACAACGGGCCTTTGACAGAGAAAAGCTGAAAGGGAAAAACACTAAGTCTATCTTGGAAACATTTTCATAGAGAGACTTGAATTCTGAAGCCATCACCCATGAGGCTGACTTAATCTAAAGCCTATGAACACATGACGTAAAGGGCAAAACCCCAGGACCACTCTGTATTCCACTGTTTTCTCCATTTGAGCAACTGATTTTGTCCAAACGACGTTACAAAGTATTTTCTCATCCTTCAGTGAAAGAGCATCAGATATCAACTAATTTGGCATCCCCACATAGGTCTGCTGCTTTTTATATATAAAATCATGCAAAACTCAAAACCAGTGATCTTCATTCCAAGAAACCAGCCGCTGGCTAACCTCTCTCATCAGAAGCATCACTGAGTTTTCTGCTGGCAAGCTGGCTGGAAGCATTCAGCATGGTGACGTAGCCACAGAAGTGCTGCAAGTCCACTTTGTTTCTTAACGTTTGCAATGCTTCATGAACGCCCATACTGCCACGAGTGAACTCTAAGAATGAAGAGTTGACACCACGTTAGTGGTTTTGCAACATAACACAGCACCAACAGCGCAAATATGCCAGTCTCTATTCAGCAACTCCTAGAACTACTTTTATACTTTATCAAGACTGCTTCCAATGAGGAAACGCATGTGAATGCAAGAGAATGATGCTCATGTAACAGTCTACAACCTTCGGGAGGCAGCTGCAAACAAGGAGCCTGCCGAGTGAGCAAGCGGGTCAGTCAGTGGGCAGACTCCTTAGGCTCCTCTTCGTGCTTCTATTCTGCCTGGAATACTTACTTGATGGCTTCTATCAAGAAATGTACCACACACAAGTTGTATAGTTTTTAATTTAAGAGAAGCAAAGTTATTCTTATTGAAGCTAAAGCTAACACTGTACTTGAAATCATACGCCTAAATTATCTAGCTATTAGTTCAAGTTCTCATAAATAGGTGAACTTGCAAAGAGAAAGGTGCCCTAGACCCGCATGTGAAGATGCCTCTTTTTAATAATCCAGGCAATAATCTCCCAGGGCAAGGGATCCACTCATCAGTTCATGAGATTTCATAAATTTCAAGATTCTGCTGTCACTATCTGCAGGTAAACAGCTATTTTTTCTTTAGAATTTTAAAGTGTTGGAGAAGTAAATGGGAGAGAAGTACTCCTTTCTGAATAGGAGCCATCTGGGGAGGGAGAGAAAACTCCTCCCGACTTTGTACCTACTTATTCACAGCAGGCAGAAGAGCACATCTGACTCCCAGCATGAGTCTGGCTATTCTTCCTCTCCGACAAGTACTCTTCCAAGGAGCCCAAAGGGGCTTATTCCTTCCATTCTTTGTGGAGGAAGCACACGTCAAAACAAAAAAAAACAAACCCCACCTTTTACAACACTCTCATAGCAGAATGGTAAGCAAATAGTACTTAAACATTTTCAGAATTCACTTCCTACCATGTTTCCCACAAAATCCCTGACATGAGGCCAGGCTCGGTGGCTCAGCCTGTCATCCTGCGCCTTTGGGAGGCTGAGGTGAGTGGATTGCCTGAGCCCGCGGGTTCCAGACCCGCCTGGGCAGTGAGACCTCATCTCTACAATAAATCAAAAAATCAGCCAGGCGTGGTAGCACATGCCTGTAATTCCGGCTACTCGGAAGGCTAAGGCGGAAGGATCACCGGAGCCCAGCAGGTGAGGCTGCGGTGGCCGGGAGCGGCCACTGCACTCCAGTCTGGGCGGCAGAGTGAGACTCCAACTCAAAAAAAAAAAAAAAAATCCCTGACATGATTAAGTCAATGGATGCAATTTAAAAGTTACCTCCTTGTAGCTCTGTTTCATCAAATGGAAATGGTATATGAACAGTTTCTCCTATCCCATGCAAACCGTGTCCCTAAACATAAAGAAACAACGTTACGAGGCACACGAGAAACCCCCATGTCAATAACAGACATTCAAACAACAAATAGGACCGTCATTTGATGATGATGATATATTCCACATCAACACTCCATCAAAATGCATTCAACAATCTTCTACTTTTCTACAGCAAGCAATGACAATCTTATGTGTATATTAACAACGTTAATTAGCAATATTTCTCACATCAAGTATACAGGCCAATGAAAGCAGGGAGGTCGACTTAATAGGTAGACCAGGTGCTAGCAAGGGAAGACAGGGTGAAGTCAGCAGGAGCAAGCTAGGGCTCTGAAGGAGAAAGCAGCGGAGGAATTCCCATACCCACAAGGCATACCACAGACTAGGATGCCAAGCTCAAAACCCTGCACTGAAGTAACCCATGTTCAAAGTTACTTGCTGCAATATTATAATTACATATCACTGGAAACAACCAAAATCAGCTGGGTGGGGTGACTCACACCTGTAATCCCAGCACTTTCAAAGGCTGAGGTAGGAGGAATGCTTGGGCCCAGGAGTTCGAGTTAGCCTAGGCAACATAGTGAGAACAACAAAAAAATCTGAGCTAGGCGCAATGGTGTGCGTAGTCCCAGCTACGACAGAAGCTGAGGCAGGAGGATCGCCTGAGCCCAGGAGTTCAAGGCTGCGATGAGCTATGATCACGCCACTGCACTCCAGCCTGGGTGACAGAATGAAACCCCAACTCCTACATACATGCATACATACAATACGTGTACATATTCTCAATCAGCTGCAAAAAAGAAAGAGGACTCTCTCCAGAACCGAAATGGAAAGGCCCCCCCACAATCGCTACATGCAGTAAGCAAGGGCACATCAGTGTCGACTACTTGCATACACATAAAGAGCCTCTAGAAGGACAGCAGAAACTAACAGGGAGATCATCTGATCTCGAGGAGAGACAGGCTGGAAGGGGACTGATGTTTTTCTCTGCACATCTTCTAACAGCGTGTTATTTTTAATCATGTGACATTGCACCATTAACTCAAAAATTAATTTTTAAAAATCCTCCCACCTAACTCTCATGCTAGAAATGATAACTTACGTTTCACTCATTGAATTCAGTTATGTTCATTTGAATCTGGCTTGTTTTAAAGCTCTGCTTTAAGTATTTAAATGTTGAGTTTGATTTGAGTTCACAGTTGCATAATAACAACAATCATGAAGAGTTTATGTTTACACGTATTAAGTGCCATTCATGATGGAAATCTAAGTTAACACTGAAAACTTATCAATCCTTCCCTTACAAGAGGCCCAACACAACGTGAATTCAGGAGACCTGATATACCTAAGAGAAATCACTCTTGTGTTCCACAGAGCAGTAGTCCCCAACCCTTCTGCATCAGGGACTGGTTTTGGGGAAGGCAATTTTTCCACGAATGAGGGAGTGGGGGATCACCGGGCATTAGAGTCTCATAAGGCGTGGGCGGCCTCGACCTCTCACGTGTGCAGTTCACAATAGGGTTCGTGCTCCTATGAGAATCTGATGCCACCACTGATTTGGACAGAAGGTGGAGCTCCACTTGTCAACCGCTCACCTACTGCTGCGCGGCCTGGTTCTAAACAGGCCATGGACCGATACTGGTCCACGGCCTGAGGGTTGTGGACTCCTGCCACAGAGCAATCTGAATGTATTTCTGACAGCTTCCTTCTATGGCACTGATCGATTTATGATTTAATCTAAACCAGATGGCTGCAATAAAATCATGATTTCAATCAAAATCTTAATATGTTTAAAATTCCAGCAAGGTGAATTTTTTTCATAAAGTTTAATAAAGGGGGTATTCTTTTTCAGCAAAAGCAAAACTCCTTAACTCTTTAAAAGCAGGCTCTAGCTTGCCCACAATGACTAGGAAATGGTGGAGCCAAGATCTGAATTGAAGCAGCCTGACATATGCTGCTGTCTAGCCCACTCTATCACGTTTCGTCCCACCACTACCCCTACTATTTCATCCTCTCAGGGTTTCATCTCTTGTCCAGCCTCTCGTGTGAACTTCAGAAAATTTCCCGTGCCTCTTTGCCCCTGTTGTCCACGGGCACCTCATTCTCAGCACGCTTACAAAATGTCACTGCCCCACAACCGGCTCTCCCTCCTGCGCTCTCCAAGGAGTGACAGCACCACCTTCCTTCATGAGCCAAACACCCTGGAACCATCTCCCCTTCCCACACCCTCCTCTGATGCTGCTCGATCCACTCACTGTGCACCGTGGTAGTGGTTCAATCTGCTTCTTCCTCTCAGTTCCCGCCTGATCTGGGCTCCCTGTGTCTCTCACTTGGCACCTGCACGCTCTCCTCCCAGTCCTAACAGTCCTCGCGCGTCAGGCATCTCCCCTGATCCCATAGGTCCTCAACAGCCCCCTCCAGCAGAGTCCCAAGATGCCTCTGGCCTGCTCTCCCCTGCTGGCACTTCTAGGTGCTGCCGCCCACCTGCAGAGGAAGTCTAAGGCACGCTCACCCAGGGTCCGCTCTCTAGTCTGACCACGATCCCACTGCACTCCAACTCACCCCTCAGAAGCCAGAGACAGCTTAGAAGCCCTGGCATACGACGCACAACTGCATGTCCCTGCTCATCCATTCAACAAACCCGAACTGGACGAGCCCTGCGAACCAAGCACTGTGAGGCACTAGGGAAGCAGGAGCGAAGAAGACAGAAAGGCTCCCTGCCCAGAGAGCTACCAAGAGGGCCCCTCACCCGGCCAGGCCCTCTCACTGTCTCCGAGGCACATCCCCCGGTCCTCCTCTCCGCCCCAAGGCTGGCTGGCAGGCACCCCTCTCGACTTCCTCCATTGCACACAACTCTATTCCACACGAAGCGAAACGGAACTAACTGCTTATTCAACTCTCCCTCCATCCTTAAAGTCCACGAAGACGAGGCCGTGTCTCATTGCATACTGTATTAGCTAGCACGGAATAGGGCTCACTCAACTGCTAGATGAGTAAATAAATGAAACCTTTACTGAAAAGCTACTGTTGCCAGAAAGCACGCTACGCGCGTCACACGCACCTTCTCATTTCACTTCCACAAGTCCATGAGAATTCAACAGCCTACTTCACCTTCAGCTGCTACCATTTTCTGTTATTACACAGCAGACACTACCATCTCCACTTCAAAGTGTAAAGAGTATCACCAAATGTCACACAGCCCAATAAACACACGAAAAGAGACTAATGTTATGCAAATCAAAATTATGATGAGATACCACTTCATACTCACTAAAGTAATTAAAAGTCAGATAATCCCAAGGGCTGGCAGGAATGCAAGATGATGCAGTCACTTTGCAAACAGTCCGGAGATCTCTTAAACGGTTAAACACAGAGCTACCATGACGCAACAATTCCATCCCTAACTATACAGCCACACAAATGAAAACATACGTCCACACAAAAACTTGCACAAATGTGAAGAACAGCATTGTTCACAATAGTCAAAAGGTGAAACAAGTCAGACGGCCATCAACTGATGAGCAGATAAACAAAATGCGTCGATCCACACAACAGCGACATAATTTGGCCACGAAAGGGAACGAAGCACTGATACACATTACAACATGCCAAGCCTTGAATGCATCATGCTAAAGAAGCCAGTCACCAAAGGCCACGTGTCACGTGAGTCCACGCGCATAAATGCCCAGACGAGGCAAAGCCCGAGACAGCACGCAGAGCGGCACTGTTTAACGCTGGGGGAGAAGTGGCAGGAAAGAGATCAGGGAGTGACGGCTGGTGGGCAGACTGCCCTTCTGAGACGAGGAAACTGAGTGTGGGGACGGCTGTGTATACCTGCTAAAATGCTAACCACTGCTGACTCGGACAGTGTGCAAACTGGTGAGCTATGTGGTCTGTGAACTATCTCATAATACAGTGGTCTCCGCTTATCCGCGGTTTCGGTCACCTGTGGTCAACCACAGTCTGAAACTAGGTGAGTACTATACAATGGGAGGCTCTGTCTTATTACAGTACGTTGTTATAATTGGTCTATTTTATCATTACTGTCGTTAATCTCTTACTGTGCCCAATTCATAAATTAAGCTTCATCATAGGTGTGTATGCACAGGAAAAACAGTACACACAGGGTTCGGTACCATCTGCGGTTTCAAGCACCCGCTGGGGGTCCTGGAGCATACCCCCGTCAAATAACAAAGGAACCACTGTAAAGCTTCAATTAGAAAGAAGAACAGCCGGGCTCGGTGCTCAGCCTGTAATCCCGCGCCTGTAATTGCCTGAGCCCGTGGGTTCAAGACCCACCTGGGCAGCAAGACCTCATCTCTACAATAAATCAAAAAATCAGCCAGGCGTGGGAGCACATGCCTGTAGTTCCGGCTACTTGGAAGGCTGAGGCGGAAGGATTGCCGGAGTCCAGCAGGGCGAGGAGCGGCCCACTCCACTCCAGTCTGGGCGACAGAGTGAGACTCCAACTCAAAAAAAAAGAAAGAAGAACAGTGGCCACACAGCTAGCAGGGGATGGGATTCAAATTCACATCTAACTTCCAGGTCATGCTGTCTCTACTTCCTCACAGCCAAAACACCAGGAATAAAACCCAGATCTCTGGTTCCTTATGCTTCGGTTTTCTTGACGTCTGATTGCAACTCAATAGAAAGCTGAGCAGATTACAAGTTTATGACAAAGATGGAAAACTGGCTGTTTCAAATGAGGTAAACTGTACCTGAATTAAAACCGCAGAATGTGTTAAAGCATCATTCAACATCGTGAGGACGTTTGACGTGGGAACTACACCGGGATCATGACCCCAAGATGTTATTAGCAATCGATCATAACCCTATTGAAAATAAATGAATGACAGATAAAGTGGCATTGAGAAATAAGGAAAAAACTAAGAAAGGCATCTATAAGCCTGCTCACACTCTCTACCCTCCTCAAGAAAAAGAAAACAAAAAGCCCAAACCTCACACACATACCTGGAATATATCTGGCAGTTTTCGGAGTCTTGTACCTTTGGATAGTAAAAGAGATGGTGGTCCCTGTCCCGTGACATGATAAATGTACAGTTTAAACCATACAGAACTGACTTCTGGGATAGCTGGTCCAATATGCTACAATCGTAACAAAGGTAAATAAAGTTATGATGCATATCTAATTAAACCACACTTCACAAGTGATCTAGCATTCTCATTAATTAATTAATTGATTGCTTTTTATTTTAAAGATGTAGAGTACAAATTCAGGATTAGGTACGGAAGTGGTCAGCGTGCAGACAGGTAAAGTTTGGGCCTGCTTTGGGATCAGGTTCCCTCACTGATGTTATGTCCCCCCCTTCCCTGGCAGTGACCTGCTACCCAATCCCTCTTGTAGTTTTGTGATTAATGTTCAGGATCCCTTATAAGTGAGAACATGTGGTATTCAGTTCTTGGTTTCTGTGATAAATCACTGAGTATAATAAACTCTAAAACCATCCAAGTTGCTGAAAGTTCATAATTTTGTTCTTCTTTATGGCTGCATAACATTCTACTGTGTATACGTACCACCTTTTTTTTCCTTAATCTAGTCCACTTTCCATGGGCAGTACAGTTGGTTCCAGGTTTCTGCTGTTGTGAATTGTGCTGCAATAAACATGCATGCACAGGAACCTTTTTTGTAGCAAATGTTTCTTATAAACGCTAATTGTGATTACCCTTATAAAAGCTGCTTAAATGGTTCCTTAAGACAGTTTCAATTTTACACTCTGGTTAAGAAAGTCAGGTACCTCTTTTCACTGCAATTAAGAACATGGACACTGGAGCCGACTGCCTAGCTCTGAATCCCAGCTTCATCCCTTCACCTTAAGAAAGCCACTTAAGCTCTCTGTGCCTCGTTTTGCTCAACAGATAAAAGAGCAATAAAATGTCTACCTCACGGATGTTGTAAGGCTGTTCAAAAAGGTTTACGATAGCACCAGGCACAGAATAAGCTCCGGATTAAAGTGCTAGCTATGATTATCATTAGTCCCATGCAGTTTTTTCACAAAAGTGGCTACCCGCCCCTCCACCCACTGTACCATCCATCCAGACAGTTCACAGACGCCCACCATGCCTACAGATTGTGTCAGGGAATAGGCGGAGAGGCGAAGGGAGTTCACAAATAAGCATTCTGAAAGTTTGGTTAAAGCAAATCTCCTGTTGAACGCAGAGGGCAAAATCTGGTGTGGGGATAGCACCTCATTGTGGCAGCCAGAACAACAGAGGCAACAAGATCAACTTGGCACGTGAATTCCTTGCTTTCGTCCACCGCATTAAGCCCTGCAGATCTGGTACACCAGGGAGGATGCCGCAGAGCAGCCTCAGAGTACCTGCTCTTGGAAAACGGGACAGGCCACAACTTCCTTGCTAGATATAAAAATACACGCAACTAAGCTCACTTTTTAACAGTAAAAGACGACAAGAAATGTCCACATATAAATTGTGAAGTTAGCTAGAGTTCTGGCTTTCAAGTACCCTCTTTTCTTTTCAACTTAATGAGCGTCACTGCCCCACTTCTTAAATGTTTAGTCTTTCCTGATTACATCTACCTTATTCCTTCTTAGTTTCCTTCTTAGAGCATTCCAAAACATTCTCATTGAAATACTCTGCCCATGAATACAATTTTTGACTTACCTTGTCAAAAGATACTAGATGATACATAAAACAAAATATACCAATTATATTCACAAATGAAACATATCATCTTACAACAGCGTAAAATACAATTTTGTTTTCTGGGTTAGCGTTTTCAACACTTGGTATCTGCAACCTGAGAATTAAGAGAGCAAAACTGAGGGGCGTCATGACAGCACTACTAAGTGGGCCTTCCAGGGCCTTTACCTGAGGGGTACAGCTGCTGACGGGCCGGATTTCGTTGGTGAGGGGCGCCATGGAGACAAGCAGCGTGTAGTTTTTGTTCAGAACTCTGCTGCAAGTTGCAGGGTCCAGGCCAAGAAGGCTCTCACAGCGCAAGAGATCCAGAGGAAAACCTGAGTTGTGATCAAGCACAGATCGTGAGATGACAGGGGGAGGCCAAGTGCTGACGATGAGATGTTGATCACTGCCTTGGAATTCCACATTCTTTAAAAAAGGTACAGGAGCTCTTTAAGAAGTGTCACATTTCCCAGGAGACTACTGAGACACATTAAGGTTTCAAGCTACAACATTTCATTCTCTGGTCTAGAAAGACAGCTGTCTACTGGTATTGCTTCAGGCTACCTTTTATCGAACAAAATGAGCTTGTTTTACTCACTTCCTCTCTCCATCCCCAGCCACTCCATGAGAGTATCATACAGCTGACCTCTAAACGTGGCGGTTAGGGGCACCAACCCCTCATACAGTCAAAAATCGGCAAAACTTGGCTACCAGTGGCCTACTGTTGACCAGGAGTCTTACCAGTAACATAAAGAGACAATTAACACAGTTTGTACGTTATAGGTATTGTAGACTCTCTTCTCACAATAATGTAAGCTGGAGAAGAGAAAATACATTTACTATTAAGCAAAAGTGGAAAAGCATATGTGTCTCATCCTCATCGTCTTCCCGCTGAGGAGGCTGAGGAGGAGAAATAAACAGAAGAGGGGTTGGCCTTGCTGCCTGGGGGGTGGAGGCAGTGAGCGGGGCAGGAGAGGCAGGCATACTTGGTGACACTTCACAGAGACACACATAACTTCTGTCTGACGTTTTCATTTCTCCAAAACGGCCCACAAGGTACCACTTCTTCTACCATTTGCCTTAGCTTCAGCACCTACAACACAGAAGGGTCTTCAGAAGTCAGAAGCAAGCCTGCAGACCGTCTGATGTCAGTTTGTTCCTGGCACTGCTCTTCTCCATCTTCTTGCTCATCGTCGGGCACTGGCTGGAAGCTCTCATCACCATCAGGACGTCTGCCATGAATTCCTCTGGTGTGCTGTCTACCAGCTCTTGAATTTCTTCAAGATCCTTACCTCGAAATCCTTTGCCCTTACCTTTTATTGCCATAACTACAATCCCTTTCAAGATTTCCTGGATTAACTTTGCTGTAAATCCTGTGAAGTCACGCACTGTCTGGACATAGCTTTCTTCTGCAGGCATTTGCTATTTCAGGTTTGACAGTTTTCACAGCCTTTTCTATGACAGCAATGTCATCTTCAATGAGGCGATCTTCCCAGACTCTCATGAGGTTCCCTACGGGGTTCTTGTCACCAGCACTGAAAAGTCTTTTCCATGGAGCATCTTGTGTAACGAGGCTTCAAGAGCCTATGATTCCCTAATCCAGAGGCTGATTAGAGATTTTGTGTTTGGGGCCAGTACACTCCTACACCCTGAATTGGTGCTGAACTCACATGGTTATGGGAGGCTAGGGGCATTGTCTGATAAGCAAAAAACTTTGAAAGGTTGTCCCTTACGGCCACGGTACTTCTGACTTCAGAACAAAGGCTCTCACTGTCCAGGCCGCCCCATCGTACAACCAGAAGACTGGCTGCTGGGGTTTGTCTTCCCCTCCAAGGCTCGAGGGGGCAGCGGTTTTGTGGCGAGGGCAGTCCTGATGAGGAACCCACTTGGCAGTGTGCAGGACAGTCGAGGCAGCCCATCACTTCTGCCTTGATCCTTAGGCTTGTTCCTCTGCCTGACTAAGACAGGTCCTCTGAGGCTTTTGCTTGCACCTAGAGCAAGGCACTTTCGTCCTATTCGTGTTAAAACCTCTTCGGGCAGATAGCCCTTCTCCCTGTGATTTTCTGGGTCTGGGAACTTGTCTGCTCCTCCTGGTCAGCAGAATCTACTTTTCCTGTTATCCCGACATTTTTGAAGACAAACTTCTTTCTAAAATTATCAAACCATCCTTTGCTGGCATTAAACTCCCCAACTTGAGACCCTTCGCTTCCCATTTGCCTCAAGTGGTCACTTAATGACTTTGTTTTTTCTCAAATCACATCAGAGTCTATAGGCAGGTCTTTCCCACGGCAATCCTGCACCAACACACTAGTTGCATTTTCAGGAGAAAAAAGTATTTTGCAAAAAGCACAAGGTTTCTGTGTCTGCTGGTGCAGATGCAGCAGCAGTTTCACGGTGTCCTTTTCTCTTTCTACAGTAGTCCTTATGCTGGATCCGTTGACCCCGGAAGGGCAGGATACCGAGCTACAGACTCTGTCTAGGGGACACTCAAGCAGCTCAACTTGTTCCCATAACGTCATGACGCCTCTGCTTCCTGGGAGCACTTCCTAAATCTCCAGTGCCCTCCACATGGGGTCCTCAATGTTGAATTCGAGGTTTACAGACAAGATGAAAAACACAAGAACCGCGAGATCACTTTTCACTGTGATGTGTTTGCTGGAGAGACGAACTGCTCACCCAGAGATGAGGAGCACAGCACGGCACTTTAAGCAGATACTCGCAATGCTTGAGCTCACCTCAACAGCAGGAAGGGGGGTTAGGAAATTATTACAGTGGTACAGTATGTACTGCAGTTAATCTTATGCAGATATGATTCAAACTGAAACTGTATATTTACATTATGTCTGAAAATAGCACCATGTGAGATCTATAAGGGTGTGCATAAGAATTCTGATACATTGCAACACTTTATAATAGATTTATATATTTTTTGGTAATAAATTATAAAATAGACTAGTATCTATATGTATTTTACACATTCATGACATACCTAACTTTCTCTTAACTTTTCCCATGTATTTCTAGGCTATGTGGTTCTTCCGTGAGTTTTTCCAAATAATCCCAAGTTTCCAAAAATTTTTCAATAAAATTATTCTAAAGAAAAACCATATGCAAGCAGACCTGTGCAGCTCAAACCCACGTGGTTCATGGGTCAACTGCATTATGAAAGGCGAAGCGCCAGGAGAAGCTATGTTCCCACAGCCAAGTTCTGGCTGTGGCAGAGGGTCCTGCACTTAGAATACGCAAGTGCAAGAGTTCTGCGCTGAGAGGGACGGCCTCAAACCACTCGTCCATGAAGCATCAGCTCACTCAGCACAGAGCGGATCTTAGGCATTTCTATTCTTAATCCTCTTGGAAGATGCCAAATCCTACTGCGCTCTAAGATGAGATGCTTGGGGCGGAAAGAAACTTCAGATCAGTTAGCCATCTCCCCCTTCCAGCAGGAAGGCCTCTGAAAAAATACACTGCCTGCTGAGATGCCTGGAAGCACTGAGCACAACGAGCACCAGGGTCTTGGTCTCTAACACCATTCCCCAGTAGATCAGGCTCCCAGGAGAAAAGGCTGCTCCCAGGACTGAGGCAGAATGAACATACGAGATCTTACTGTTTTGCCAGAAAGTGAGGAATTGCTAAATAAATAAATAACCCCAGTGGAAGCATGTCACAAGGAAACAGGTGCACAAAAATAATTAAAAGACTGTAACGATTAACTATAGACCACTGAGGGAAAAAAAAGGAATCTATAAATCCTGCTGAAAATACAATAGAACGCCTAGTCCCGACTGTTAGATATGGAAGTAGGCTGGAGCCAGGAGAAAATTACCAACTGGCAACCACTGAGGAACAGAATACTTCAGGCAAGAACCACCAACAGATGCTAAATCTAGAAGGAAACGCTGATAAGGAGTAGGACGTTGGCATGATCTTAAAGTATCTCCCCATGGATTACTTATCAGCCGTGGGGGGAAACCGCTGACTAACAGTGGGAAAATCAGACAACGCATGAATTGGGCGACCAAAATTAACACTGCCAGTGAAAGGTAGAAGGAAATCAGGCACCTCCAGATGCCACACCTTCAGAAGGACACAACCATCACATCATTTCTGGACAAAATGCATAGCTAGATCTAATCATAAAGAACGCCACACACATCCAGGGTGAGAAACTGTCTCATAAAACCAACAAAAGGGGGACTGGGTTCTTCAAAAATAGGAATGTCATAAAAGACAAGAAAAGGCTATGGGTTTGTTCCAGAATATAGGAAATAAGAGCAACATAGCCATTAAATACAGTACTTGGACCTAAACTAGATTCTGCACTGGAGAATAAGAACGCTGTTAAGGACATTATTGGGTCAATTCACAATCTGGAATATAAAATGCAGATTACTGAATCAATGTTAAATCTTCTGAAATTGCTATAAGAAAACATTCTTATTCTTAGGAAATACACACTAAATAATTTAGTAGAGAAGGCCATGACATCCAACTTACTCTCAAATTCTGGGTTAAAAGTAATTATGCTATTCTTATTCTTGCAACTTTTCTATAAAGTAAAATATTTACAGTAAATTGTTTCAACACCAGGAGTCTGTGGTTTCCTGCCGAGAGTCCTATAGCTGTCCCACCTGGAAAACAAGGTGGAGACAGGAAAGTGAAGGCTCTGTGGACGGGGCTTCCGTCACATGGCACATCTGGCCATCTTTGTTCTAGCCAGCAACAAACAGGTCCGGCTGGAGCAGAGATACAGCCTGAAGAGAAATGAGAGATGCCAGCAGGAGGCTTAGAAAAGGTAGAGAATGGAATAAAGACTTAAACAGACTAGAGACATGCAAGCTTGGTGAAGTGTACTGAGAAATGATACAACAGCCGGGAGTGGGAAAATACTATCCAATTAAAAAAAAAAATCTGAACTTAATAAAAAGCCTTCATTCAGAAGGCCACTATAACGGGGGAGCCAGCTGCAACAGTGATCCCAAGGGCCACGGTATCTTAGGAATTAGGCAAAAAGGGTGTTTCTTTTACAGAAAGAGGTAAACAAAGCAGCAAGAGCAGGTGTGAGGATGCAGCTGCATGGACGAGGTGAGGACAGCAGATTGAAGACTGCCTCCCACACTGCAGCATGTTCCGGGAGAGGTAAGCTGAGGGCGGGTCCAAGTGCAGGGGTCTGGAGGAAGGGGAGAACGGAAGCATGGCTAACAAGCATCTGGCTCTGACTGATCGACTAGGACGGCAGTACAGCCTGTTGCTCATGGGACAAAGGAAGGAAATCTGGGGACCCGTTTCCAGCCTTGTCAAAGGTGAGCAAGGGGGGGGCATGCGTGCATCTTGGCTAAGCCATACGGGAAGGTGGGTACTTGCTGTAAGTCCCATCCCAAGCCCGAAAGGGTGAGGGGACTGCTTAACCTTCAACACTGTCAGTGTCAAGTGTGGAAAACATTTCACCTTCATTAGAACAGGGAAGGCAGAAAGTCTAACAAGTGCATGGTGGGTAGAGCATGCTTTCTACTCATTTTACAGTTGCAATGGCTTTTGTCCAACTGTGACTGTCAAATTACAAACAGTGATTTTTATGTCAGACTTGTACCGATCACAGTGGAAAGATGTCTTTTGAAAGACAAAAAAATCTGGGGAAAAAACAATGCTTATAAAATGAGAAAAAGTTAGACCATACACTGCTTTTATTTTTTTAAGCAATGCCTTGTACTATTTAAAACCAAGAGGTTACCAGAAATTAGTCATTTTCACTTATAACAGAGTTTGCTTCTATGAACTATCACAAGGCTTTCACTTTACAATAAATACCAAGAGCTACATAATACACTCAAACTATGAATTAGTGGCATATAAAGAAAATTCATTTCACTCAGGCTTAAAACTGGATAATTTCTTTCTAAAAATGAGTGAAGTCCAGTCCAGTCATCAAGCCCAGCACCTACAGAAAGCAACATTACTCAACAATTAATTCTACCTTAAAGGTAAGAATTATACTTAACAATTTTCATATGGAATAAGTTTAGGTTTGCCACACAACTTACTTCATGGTATATACACTATTCAAGGTTAAAAAAAAAATGTTCAGCCCAGACTACTAAGCAACAAATTTTTAATGAGGAAATCAGTTAAAAGCTTAGCATTCAAAAGAAGATAAGGCAGCATCCTCTGCATGGAATGACCTTTTCCATGATCTAGAAGGGCACCAGTGATGCACCATCACTAGAAATATCAAGAAACAATCACTCCAGTCATCTCCTATGTTCTGTAATTCATGAGGAGCTCAACTAAGAAAGGCTGGTTGCAAGAATGAAACCTCCTAAAAAATTGCAGGTCTGGTCTTACGAGGAGGCGTTAATCACAATTTATTGGAGTCCTGGCAATTATTCTAAGCAATTAAAGGTCCAATTGATGTCAGAACAGTCAACTATTAAACCTACCTTTAATATATTATACTTAACTATTTTCATATAGAATTATACTTATTAAGAATTACTAATTAAGAATTATACCTCGCAGGGCTCGGCGGCTCAGCCTGTAATCCCGCGCCTTTGGGAGGCTGAGGTGAGTGGATTGCCTGAGCCCACGGGTTCGAGACCCGCCTGGGCAGCGAGACCTCATCTCTACAATAAATCAAAAATCAGCTGGGCGTAGTAGCATGCACCTGTAATTGCGGCTACTCGGAAGGCTGAGGTGGAAGGATCACCAGAGCCCAGTGGGTCGAGGCTGTGGTGGCTGGGAGCGGCCACTGCACTCCAG